AGTTATCATTAATAAAAGAAAGTGTCAGAGTAAGATTTACCAACCCACTCATTAAGACAGTTTAGAAACTGTGGCTAAGGAAAAAGAAGAACGAATCATCTGATTTCATGAAACTAGAGATCACAGACTTGAGGAAATAAAGTGAAAAAAGAAGACTGCAAAACCATCCATCCTAATATTAACCCTATCTTTGGCCAAGTCCATTTGGCTTTCTGGTAACATGGGAAATGAGGCTGACATTACAAAATCCCAGGGTGCAGTACAGCCATCCAAGTTTCAGCACAAATCATTGACCTTATTTTTTTTTTTTTTAAAGATTTATTTTTAAGAAGCCCTTCTCATTGGTTCAGATGACCTAATCTAAGCTCAAGGCAGTAAAACACTCCAAACTTGGAGAGATAAACACTGACGTAGTCCAGTTTTAAAATTAACTTTGCTAAACTCTTCCCAAGCTTGGAGAATTCCACTTCGGTTGTGAAAATGCAGCCAGGAAAAGATTCCAAACTAAATGCTACAGGACTTCTTAGAATAAACCAAAGGCTCCAGATCCTAACCACAGGAACCAGGCTTTCCCACATGGAATTCTGCAACTCAGCGCCACCTATCACAGGCCCTCAATTACAGCTTCTTGCAATCATTTATGCATCCCCCCAGGCACACACTGAAGCCACGCTGGAGGTCAGCAATAGGTAATGCCCATAGACATTCTACCCATTGCCAGCTCAAATCTCAACCACTAACGCAGCCCACAGAGAGCTCTTCTTTCTCATCTCCCAAATCCCTTTAGACCCCAAAACTACCCCTCTGGAAATTCTGGCTCCAAAAGTCTGGGTAGGATCTGGGCAACTGTATTTCAGAAAAGCACCATGAGTGAGTCGGATGTGTAATCTGGGTTGGGAACAACTAACAGAGATAGTATGTTGTGATGTAATAGATACTTTAGGAAGACTTAGTTCCATACTCATCCCTGCCACTTTCCAACTGTAAGATGTTGATCAATTTACTTTTCTCTAAGCCTCAGCCTCCCCAACTGAAAATGAGCTGTTACAGATATCAGATCAAACAAGAAATGAGGTTTCACTTAAAAAAAAAAAAAACTTCATATTTGTATTGTGTTTTAGAGTTTAGAAAATGCTTTTACATCCACTACGTCAAATGACAAAAGCCTACTCATGATATGGGATGGATGGGAATTATAATCATTCCCCACTTTACAGTTAAGGATACAGGGATTAAAATAAATAGGTAAAAGGGCAAAAAATCACAGAGTTAATAAATGTTAGAGGTAGGACTCAATCCAGACTAAGTCCGGTTCTAGCCCATTTCTCTGTATAGCTGGTATAAATTCTCAAATACTTCATGAAGGGCATACCACTTCAAAGACTGCCAACACTGCGGTGCATCCTTCTAGGAGCAAGTTAAGCACAAAGCGGCAGGTCAACAAATCCTTATTGGTTGAATGATAAAATCAAAAAGCACAAAATCAAGCTGAATAAAGTTTCCAAACAAAAGGAAAAAATTCATTTATTTCATTTTGATGTATGCATTAATTATAGCCATCTAAGGTCTTAAAGCAAAGGAGTGAAACCTATGTGCTCAAGGTATGTATAGGAAATACAAAACTAGGTGGTGAAAGAGAGGCCACTACATCATTTCACAAGAACTTCTTAGGACTCTATGCTTTCTACATCTACGCTTTGAATTTATAGAGCTACAGCTTTGATCTTGAGCTATGAGACTTATTTTCAGACCAGATTTGGCCTAGGGTTACTCAGCGAGGATTTGCAGAAGAACCTCTGCATCTACAGCTTTATTGCTGAACAAAGTACTTCACAATGGCCTAGTTTTGTTTCACGTACATATACAACCTGATACAACCTCATCTTTATATCTCATTTATGTAATTATAGCATTTCAAAACTATAAGAGACTGTATATGTCTACTGGTTTGACTAATTTTTTAATTGTTTTTTTATTGAATGAAAGATTCTTCAAATTCTAGAGTACTTTACAATTTTCAAAGGTTTCACACACGATTTCTTTTTTTTTAAAACTTTTTATTTTATATTGGAGTATAGCCAATTAACAGGGTTGTGATAGTTTCAGGTGCACAGCAAAGCAACTCAGCCATACATATACATGTATCCGTTCTCACATGATTTCATATAACCCCATAATAACCCTCTTTTTCCCATACCCCTATATTATCTTTTCCCCCTTCCCTCTCCCCACTGGTAACCACTAGTTTGTTCCCTATATCTGTATGACTCTAGTATTTTAGATGAAGGCACTGAAGTCCAAAGACAAGTAACTGACCCAAACCAGGCAGCCAAATATCCCAATCCCTATCTCCCCATTCAATACATAAGGTCATCCCTTCAGTTCCCAATGATGTCTAAACACTTCCATCAGCTGTTTTTTTTTTAACACAGTATTATTGAGATATAATTCATATACTATACAATTCACCCATAGAGTCTAAAATTCAGTGACTCAATACATTCATGGAGCTGGGGAATCATCTCCACAATCAACTTTAGAACACTTTCATTACCCCAGAAAGAAACCCCATACCTCTTAGCCATCGTCCTCTAATCCCATTCACATCCCCCTACAACCCTAGGCAACCACTCTTCACTTTCTGTCTATGAATTTGCCTGGATAATATGAATTTGCCTGGATAATTCATATAAGCAGAATCATACAGTATGTGATCCTTTGTGACTGGCTTCTTTCACTAATAATAATGTTTTCAAGGTTCCCCCTTTTGTAGTATGGATCAGGACTTCATTTCTTTTTGTTACCAGCTAATATTTCTTTGTATGGATATATCACATTTTATTTATCCATTCATCAGTCGATGAACATTTGAGTTGTTCCCACTTTTTAGCTATTATCAATAATGCTGCTATAAACATTCATGTACAAGTTTTTGTGTGGACATATGTTTTCATTTTTGGTAATATAGTAACTCTTTATATTTTTGATATAACGTCCTTATCAGATATATGATTTGGGAAAATTTTCTCCCATTCTGTGGGTTATCTTTTCTCTTTCTTTCTGAAGCACAAAAGTTTTAATTTTGATGATGTCTATTGGTCAGGAATCTCATCATCTTCCTGGTTTGCCAGTAAGAACAATTCCAACTTTTTATTTTTAAAAGTCCTCCTTACTGCATGTAAAACCTTGGGCTGAAAGCCTACTTATTTATAGAGATCAAGAATTATGGTTGATAAAGTACAATATTAAAAATAAGCATACATCTAAACTGAGGGATAAACAAAGTGGCTATATATGTGGGAGAAGATTCTATGGTAGAGTAATATCACCTAGATCATAGCCCCTCGCCTAGGAAGTTGGCAGCTACTACATAAATGAATTAGCCAGAAAACAAAGTTAAGCAACTTATGTGTGCCTCTTCTATCTAGACCCCAAAAGAGCTCACAATGAAGGTGGGGTAGAGGAAAGGGTAAACACAAAGATGCATGCCCAATGTACTCAATAAGAGTCCTCAATAGTTCTGATTTCAGTTTTTCAACAATCATTTCCTATATGTAAGATCACTGCCTATTAGACACCTCTATGTCAAGACATCTCAAATGCAAAGTGTCTAATATTATCTTTTCACTTCAAATGCAATGTGTTTAAGTCATCATCTCTCCTGCTCTCCAACTATCAACCTTCCTCACTTGTTCTTCTTCCTGTGTTCCCTATTTGGTTAATGATACTATTATCTACCATCTCCCCTGATCTGTAGTTATGCAGGTATATTTTTCTGCAACATATTTTCTGCAATTCACCACTGTACTTGGCATATTTGGCACTGTTTCAGAATCCCAATTCTGACTTTACCATGTAGCCTACTAGATATGCCTCCTAGCTTCAATGAAAGAGTAAGAGAAAGGGTACTGGGACTTCCCTGGTGGCACAGTGGTTCAGAATGCAGGGGACACAGGTTCGAGCCCTGGTCTGGGAAGATCCCACATGCTGCAGAGCAACTAAACCTGTGTGCCACAACTACTGAGCCTACGCTCTAGAGATCGCAAGCAACAACTACTGAAGCCTGCGTGCCACAACTACTGAAGCCCGTGCACCTAGAGCCCGTGCTCCACAACAAGAGAAGCCACTGCAATGAGAAGGCTGTGCACCGTAACAAAGAGTAGGCCCTGCTCGACGCAACTAGAGAAAGCCTGGGTTCACCAGCGAAGACCCAACGTAGCCAAAAATTAATTAATTAATTAATTAAAACAAAAAAAAAGAATCTGGATACAAGGGACTTCCCGGCACTGCTGGTGCAGTGGTTAAGAATCCGCCTGCCAATGCAGGGGACACAGGTTTGATGCCTGGTCCGGGAAGATCCCACATGCCGCAGAGCAACTAAGCCCGCGAGCAACAACTACTGAGCCCGCATGCCACCACTACTGAAGCCTGAGCACCTAGAGCCAGGGCTCCACCACAAGAGAAGCCACTGCAATGAGAGGCCTGCGAAGCACAACAAAGAGTAGCCCCCACTCAACACAACTAGAGAAAGCCCGTGCACAGCAACAAAGACCCAATGCAGCCAAAAATAAATAAATTAAATTTTTCAAAGAAAAAAGAATCTGGAAAGAAGACATTCCAAATGAAACTAGTTTTGGGGAAAAACCATATCCAAATGAAGACATTTCAATATTTCTTATATTCTGTGAGGTCATAAACAGTTTAAGAACTTAAAAAGTAAGTAAATATATGGCTTCAGATTGCCCAAAATCTGGCAAAAGCATAATTATTTTCCTAGAATTTTGTTCAGATATAGTTAATAGAGTATAATAATGGGTCTATTTTCCATTTGACTTCACAGTCATTTCAGGAAAAGAAGATAAGGAATAAAGAAAATATTTAATGAGAAAAAGAGGGATTAAAGGAAAATTAAATCAAGGAAGGGACAAATATTTTATTCAGGTTACCAAAAAAAATTTTTTTAAGTATACAAATGATGAGAAAGAAATGAAATACTGTACTTTTATCACCAGGTAAGATGGCTCGGTAAAATCGGTCCTTCTTTTTCTTCTCCTCTGGGTTTGGAGGCAGAGGTTTGGAACCGTGGTTTAGGGTTCCAGCATCTTTGCTGCCAGCTCCAATCATAGTGCTGGTATTTCTCATCGGAGGGGCTGGGGGTTTGTCTTGAATGTCTAGGCCGTTATTTGACATTGTCAGCACCAGCAGCAGCTACTGGAATCAGAAAGAAAAACATAACTCTTTTATTATTTTTTGAGCAAAAGGAAATATGTATTGAAAACTTTAAAGGAATCCAAATTTTACAACCCTTCCTCCAGGACCCACCTCAAGCGCTTCCACTGCATACCATGACTACTGCTATCTTATTCAGTCCACCATACTCAAAGATGTAATACCTACTCTGTGCCAAGCACTGCTGAAAATTCACAAGGTTCTTACTTTTCTCTTCATTCTCCTATCTAAGGCATTGGAGAGCACAAAAAACCACCATGATGTGATTTAAAAGGCAGAAATTTGGCCCAGTTAAACTGAGAATGAATCCCTGTGCTACTTAACAAGCTTTAGAGAAATTCCTTAACCACTTGGGTTCCATTCAGTCATTCACATGAAGATTAAATAAAACTGCCAACAGCATTCCACACAGTGAGTTCTCTGCCAAGCTCTAATTTTGTTACCTTAGGAAAATCATTCCTTCTCTGGTAGGAATTGTATCACTATACCAATGGTCAGTAAAGCTGCTGGTTTTGTAAACAGTTTTACTGGAACACAGCCACATCCATTCACTTACATATTGTCTATGGCTTCTTTCACATTCTAATGGCAATACTACGTAGTTGCAACAGGCCTAAAATATTTAGGTTGTTCACAAATCTACAATATTTACTATCTGGTCATTTACAAGAAAAGTTTGCTGATCCCTGGCCTTTATCATCTCTCCAGTATCTCCTTCCTCTAAAATTTGACCTTCTAATATATGATGTTCTAAATATATGATGATCAATGCATTAACCATCTTGTCCTATATGGTGCTGAATTTACAGGCAATTTCCAGCGCTTCTGGGAAACAGAAGGAATAAAATCTAAAAGAAAAGGAAAAAAAATACCTATCACATGGAACCAGTAGTTTTAGTGAAGATAGATGTTATTACCTTAAATAAGTGTGCTTGACAATAGATAAATATGAATATATCCAGAGTTAATAAAGTTTCTCATTATTCTTCATGCTACATTGGAAATTATTTTATTTATTTATTTTTTTTTTCCCTCGGTACGCGGGACTCTCACTGTTGTGGCCTCTCCCGTTGCGGAGCACAGGCTCCGGACGCGCAGGCTCAGCGGCCATGGCTCACAGGCCTAGCCGCTCCGTGGCATGTGGGATCTTCCCGGACTGGGGCACGAATCCGTGTCCCCTGCATCGGCAGGCGGACTCTCAACCACTGTGCCACCAGGGAAGCCCCTCAACTGCTATTTCTTCTACGAAGCCCTTCTGAAATGTTCTCACCTTCAAGAAGTTAAGGTCCCCTCCTCCACACTCCAAAGGCAATGGGTATATTTCCAGGTTATCACATTTATTTTCACTGTTTTAATTATCTTCGCCAGAAGAATGTAACCCAAAGGTCAGGCACGATTTTGTCACCTTTGTAATCCAAAAGAGCTTAGTATAGTATCTAACTCAACAGTGGATTCAATAAATATTTCTATTAATCAAAAGTTTGACAGAGTTATATACCTTGCCTTTAAGGAATTCAGTACAGACGAAATTTTAAGGTCCTTTGCAATCTTTGATATTGAACTGCCTCACAAACTAAGCCACTGTACCTGGACACAGCTTGCATTCAAACCACACTTCAGAAATCTCTGTTCTCATGAATTTGCCAAGTAGTCTCTTACCCTCCTCTTGCCCTACCCCCCCCACCCCCAATGTTTCTTGTCAGTGATTTCTCCCTCCTCTGACTGATGAAAATCTTACCCATCTTTTAAGATCAAATTTAAACTTCATCTGCTTATATAATTCATCCTGACCTACCTCTGACAAACCCACTGCTCCTCACTTCTCTTTTTGAACAAAAGAAATCAAGTAAGCAAGGACAATCTTGTTAATCTAGAGTAACTCTCTGGGTGGTGTGCTTTTTATCCATTTCTTCCAGCTTCATTTTGCAGATTTGTCTTTGCTTTCCCTCCCAGCCCCAACTCAAGTCCCTCAGCTCCCCCAAAGAGAATTTCTACTGGCCCAGCTCTCAAGAGTACCTTCCCACTCCAGACTGCCGGTTCCAAAATTACACTCCCTGCAGCCACCTGATACCCTAAGCAGGCCCTTCCTTGCCTCTTAGCTCCTTCAGCCAAAAGCTTCATTGAATATTACTCCTTTTCAGGATGACAGCCCAGGATTGCACCAAGAAAGGCTTCATCAGGGCTTCCCTGGTGGCACAGTGGTTGAGAGTCCGCCTGCCGATGCAGGGGACACGGGTTCG